AGTGAACCAAGATTTTGAAATCTACCAATTTTTAATGCACACTACCGCTAGCTATTGACGGTGAAACATTGTCTTCAACGGGAAATAAAGTTTAAAAGGAAAAACTCACAGGTTTGAAGCCAAGCAGCCTGTTGTCTCTCAGCTCCCAGAGTAATTTGTTTGGTCGACTTTTTTCGATCCAGATGAGCAAGCCTTGTTGCGTCCGTAACGTTGCTGCAGTCCGGTACTGCACGAATTTTTAATTTGAATAATCTTCAGGAGGTCGGGGTTGTGGGTTGGTTGGAACCAGATATGGTTTCAATCACGAAGACACTGAGCTCTTTATGGCACACTAATCAAAATTCCAATATAGGGGCCCGTGTCAAATTAGACCACGGGTAAACCAAATAATTTGAGGGGGTGCACGCAAGTGCCTGTAGGAGCGATGCTACGCGTTCGATTTTCTGGTGCGGACTGGAATTTCTTCCCTTACCCGCCTGGTCGGGCACTTAAAAAAGGTCTTCGCTGAGAAGATCTGAGAACCAGGCGGTTTTCGTGGGTTTGTTTTAATAGGGGGAATTTAGGGTGTTTTTGACCGTTTGTTGCAAGAAAGTCTGCAACAGTACTTACGTTTGTAATGGGGGATCGAAATTCATGGTATTTCAGTAAATGGGAGCCCCATTTGGGCCCCAGTTACTGTCAAATATGACACTGACAAGCGGGAAATTTCGCATCTGGGCTGGAGATTTCGAGAACCTTCTGGGTTACCTGGAGGAAACTATATAAGCGACGACGAGAACCATGGGGAGGGAGTGAAGTGACAACAGCACCGAGTGCAGAAGAAGGTTGAAACCCGCGAGTCGGAAATCCGAGTTTTGCGTTTGTTATTGTTATTGTTTGTGAAGTTGACGTTAATTTAGAAGTTAGTTTGTTCCTGTTCCGTATTTAAAGTTATACCGAGGTAAATAAAAGTTGGAAGCTGAAGAAAGTGTTAGATACTCGGCCATCCACGGTACAATTTTTATTCCCCTTTGCAGGTAAACAATGCTAAAATTGCTCTAATAAGATTGGTCAGAGTTGACGGCCAAAACCTTTTCAATAAGTGGTGGCAGCACATGAATCGCCTTTAACCGAAGAAAAAATTAGAGAACCTGTAGAATGTTCACCAGAACAGTTCAGAGAAGAACTCCGGAGTGGGTGGGTGTATGAGATTTTTCGGCAAAAAAATTAGTATTTCGTAAAATTTTGTTCGAAAAAAGGATGTTTTTGGATAATTTCCATCAGGAACGCATAAATGCTCAGATGAAGCAAGACTCGAAAGGTAGTAACCCCTAAACACACTGGACTCCCTGTCGTGAAGGTTCTTTAGATTTCGATTGTTAAAACAGCTTGGTCAAGAGCACCCGTTCAATTTTCGGCTATTTTATGCCCAGTTCAAATTTGCCGGTTTTAGCCGATAACGGTCGATGGTTGCGAGAGGGAACGATAAAGCCCAGAATAACTGCGATGTAAACTGGCCACAGCTCTAATGTCATCTTCGTGGCGAAAAGAGCATGTGCGACGAAACCTGCAACTTGCCGCAGATGAACTGCAGAAGTGGTTCATCAAATGGAAAGTGAAGGTTAACGCATCAAAGAGCCAGGCCATCCTTATTGGAAGGAAACGTGACAGGATTGATGGAAACATCAATCTTGACGGAGAAGAAGTCCAATGGGCAAGTAGAGTCAGGTATTGGGGTGTTGTTTTAGATACGCGACTGACCTGGAGGCAACATGTGACGACAGCGATCAACAAGGCAAAGGCTACAGCTGCAACGCTGTACTCACTCCTGAACCGAAGAAGCCAAATAAGTGTGAGGAACAAACTCCTACTCATCAAGAGTGTCATCAGGCCGGCAATGACGTATGCCTCCACAGTGTGGGGATATGCGGCAGAAACCTACCTGAGACAACTTCAGGCCACAGAGAATAAACTCCTGCGGATGGCCATAGATGCGCCTTGGTTTGTGCGTAATTCTCAAATCTACAGGGACCTGGAGTGAGAGCCACTGAGAGACTTTCTGCAACGGAAAGCAGCTTCGACCTTTGAAAAGGCCGAAAACCATCCCTTTGAAGAACTACGGAAAGCCGTTGAGTACATATCAGAGGAGGATGGGCCCAGGAAAAAGAGGCCCAGGCACCAGATGGCCCAACGGGGCAATAGGTAAAGCAGTAAGCTGCAAAGTGCTGTAAGTGCGAAACTTAATTAAGTGAGTGTGATAGAAGTGGTATTGTGTTGTATAGTGCTTGGGTCAATTTAGTAAGATGCCCATGCTAGCAGGTAGTTAGCATCGAGAGAATGTGATGTAAAGGCATACGGATGCCAGAGCTGAACCATTCTTACAGAAGACTACAAGTTTTAAAGGATAACTCCCGGAAACTTTCAGTTTAAAAACGGGGGTTTTTTAGTTGGTAGAAATCCAACACTACCTATCCACACTATAAAAATCTTCTCGAAGACACCCGGTGTCACGGGACACTGGGTGTCTTCGAGAAGATTTTTATCCTCCAGCCGCCGGGCAAACCAAAAAAAAAATGTAAACTGGCACTAGTTTGGACTGTTGAACTGTATTTAAGCCAATTTCTGCGTTTTTTTTATCACTTAATCCAACAATATGGAAAAGTATGGACTTCAGTAATTCCCTACATCGGGTAATACTTTTACGACAACCACAATGGTAGAAAGTCAGAGTATGTCGTGAAAGTTTCTGGGGAAGATTTTGGCAATCAGGAACCCAGACTGGCAATAAGGCGAAATCATCTACTACCGGTACACGAATCCCCAAAGATCTGACCAATATTGGAAAGCCATAAAAATTATCACTGAACACAATTTGAAGATATTTATTGCCTTTTGCAGGTAAACAATGCTGAAATTGCTCTAATAAGATTGGTCAGAGTTGACGGCCAGAACCTTTTCAACAAGTGGGGGCATTAAGCTAAAATAACTCATCAGCTCAGAATTATTTTTCAATTAGGAGATTTTCAGCTTAATATCAAATGCACTTCCGCTTATCCGTAGAATTTTGAAGTGCGATTAATAAAAATAATATAAAATGTACCACAAAAAATACTTTAATTGGTAGCACGTTTAACAACCTTACATTTTGTTCATAATTAAATTTCGGTTTTGGAAGATTGATGCACATGGAATGCTCCTCTATATTTCGAGCACAAGTAAATTTTAATTTAATATGGCAATTTATCATCAATGGTTTTTTCGTTTATTTGGTTCAAGAAGTAACGAAAAATTAGGAAAGGCTCTTCTCTTCTTCTCGTATAATAAGAGCTTTCTCCTCGTATACTTCCGCAGCTGACTGCGGGCGCATACATATTTCAAATTCCCTTTCCCACAAAAAAGTGCTTAACTAACGTTTCCGGTAATGCACAGTAAACTTATTTCAGGAAAGTAATATGAATGCTCTTACCAGTCCATTACATGCAGAAATCGCCACTCGACTGTGTGGATCGCCATGAACAAATCCCTGATAATGGCAAATTTTGCTGGTTTCTTTCGGTTTTCTCCTCACATGCCTTTCTTTGCTTCTCCATTCCACTACAAAACTTGGTGCCAAAAACTCCACGCTGGGCGTTAAAATGAGGTGGTGTTCTTCATCAAATATAGAGAGATTAAACCTCACAAACTCCTCAGTATTGGAGTGATGGTGATTCAAATCATGCGAAACATCTCCATTTTCTTTCACTTTGATTGGTATCGTTTGGTGTGCTTCCCATAGCTGATTTGTGTAGAGCCCTGCAATAAAATACAGAAATTGAAGCTTTTTCCAACTGACATGGACATACATTTTATTTGTTGACAAGTAAATGAATATTTTTCGTTGATGATTTGGATGAATACGGATTCAGTGCATATACAAACTAAGCTTGTTTATCGTTAATGGAAATTTAGCAATTAAAATTAACACTGCAAAGTGATATGCTCAATTCGGATCACCAAATTAATAGGCAATCAACAAAGAAGTTGAAATTGAAGCTGAAGCAAATATCCAGTCTAGTTAAAGCATTGGAGATAAATTATATCGATTCTCAGCGTAACGATAGGCTGCTTTTAATGGCTGTTAGGTTGGAAGCTACCAAAAACAATTCCCTACAAAAACAGCTTTCTGAAGCTTTACGAGAAAATACTGAAATTATGGACATGGTTCAATTGAGAAGTGAAGATGGTGACGTGTCTCGAGCTTGTTCAAAAATCAATTTAGGTATTTTGAATTTTCAATTTATTTTTTATACAAAACCGTGGCTTTGCCTATTAGGTTCGAGCATTTCAACCGTAAGTTTGGTCCATTTGCAGTACAAATATGAAGAACTATTTGCCAGTCACAGAGGACTGTTAAAAGTGTTAGAGCTGAGGAGTAATGAAGTAAAAAAACATTTACAGGAGAACTGCAGCCTGAAGGAAAAGATTGAGCAACTTATTGCTGATCTACAAGTAGCTCAAGAGAAAGTGGAATTTCTACAACAAAAAATCTCCTACATTAAGAAAAGAAAATGCGAAAAAATCACGAGGTTGAGAAACGAAAGGCAAACCTTAGCTCTAGTCCATCGGAGATTAGTAGCTTTACTCCATAGACAATGCATGGAGAAAAATGAGTTTATTGAGTCTTTGCTAAGGACAACAACACGCAGTGAAAAAGCGTTGCTTTTGCAGGAAATACGAAAGAATAACATTTTAAATTACGAAAACTTTCAGCTGCAGCAGGAATTGGATTATTTGAAATCCCTTTTGAAGATTACGAGAACAACTTCAAAAGAAGTGCTTCAAAGTGACTCTGGATCTCTTAGATCTACGCAATAACCTACACGAATTTAGTTGCAAGACAAAAACGAATATATTTACTTTACGTCTTCGGCTTTTTTTAGTATTGTAGTTAGTGTAGCGAGAAAAAGGTAAGGGCATGGAAGCTATTTCCACACTGAGTAATTGATCACCAATTTTAAATATTTGGATATCCTGGCTGGGTTTTAGTTAACACCCTATATTTTGAGACTGGGCTAACGTTGCTTGTTAAAAATGGTAGTTTATTCAAATATTCTTTATATGTTTATCTGTCGTCAGGATGGTCGCAAGTACGTTCTGTTTTATTTGCCTTAATATCAGTTTTAGAAAAAGATGAAAATAGGAAAATCGAGAGAACCCTTTGGAATAGCATGTAACTGTTTTATTTGATATTAATGTTATTTAAATTAATTTAATATATATAAGTTCTCTTATTATTTGCCTCAGCAAGTGCAAAATTGAAGTTTCGAACATCGAATGAGGATCATTTCTGAAATATTTATTAAGTGCGTTTTCAAGAGGAAAAGGTTAAAATTAAATAAAAAAAGTCAGACAGAAGGCAAATATCACAACATGCACCTTTCAAAGGATCCAATAGCTCAGTTTGCACGGCTTCCTCAATAATTAGACACCTCGCTTTTCTTCAGAACGATTTTTATTTTAATTAAGAAATGTCTGTTATAACATCTCAACAATCAGAAGTAATTAGACTGAAAGGAGAATTATGCTGTACAGTTTTGCAACATCCAGAAACAAGATTGTCTGTTTATAAATTTTAAATGATAATATGAACATTTTTGTATCGTAAATGATGACTACAAACATTACTGAAAATGAAAACAAAACTGAAAAAACTAGTCAGCTACTTGGATAATAGCGAAATTATGTAGGTATATACATAAAACATTTCGGTCTAAAATAAGTATGATATCGTCGGTGAATAAACGTGAAATTTAAAAAATATTAATTAATTCTCATCTAAAGATTCTAGCGTATTTTCAATAAGCTACTTGCGTTCTTCCTTTCGTTGAGACCATAATTATGTCAAATTTTCACATGAGTGTTTTTTGAGCTCATTGAATTTTTTCCGACCTAAGCAGGTCTCCAGTGTGCATATAAAAAAGGTTTAGGTCGACCATAAGGAAGAGCAGTTAAATATTACTCCCCAAAAACGCTTAAATAGGCCGAAGCTGTTGAATATTTCCGATCCGAAGCTTCTAGAGTGTTTTTCAATCTTGTCGTATTTTCCGTTTCATTGACATGAAAATTACGTTTATTATTATTAAATATTTAATTTCAGTTCGAGAGTAACTCTTTGCTATCAGTGTTGTTTTATAGTCCGAGGAATGTCTTCCTATTTTGAATACTTTTTGTACATATTTAGTGTTTAGTATTGCACTTCCTCTTGATCATTGTGTGATTTGACCATAATCTGATGGTTTACGGTGTTTGGTAATGCTTCATCTTCATTTCCTCAATATTATGGTTTATTGTAAACGGTTGATTAGATTTAGCTTTAGCATTTGTATCTTTCTCTTCTAGAATCTCTTGAAAATGTCTGTGCTGGCAAACAGTATCTGGGTGTCTTTCCCAGTTTGCTGTACTTGTAAACTCTCTAAACTATATCCATCTATTTATCATTTATTTTTTGAGTGTCTAACTTTTTTGTGCTGTACTTTTTATATGCTTTATAATTTGGTGCATTTTTTATGATGTGCACGTTGCTCTTGCCTTTTATTTGAAAACTTCAAAGTGCCCTTTGTCAACATATAGGTATAACTTTGATCTAAAGGCTTCGGTAAAAGTAAACCGTGATATGTTACTGTAGTCTACTTCAATAGAATCATATAATAGAGTTCAATCAACTCAACCAAACAAACAGTTGTTTTTGAGGAAGATTTATCATTCCATGTCAATATTTTACACAAAATTATTTTTAATTACCAGTTCTTAAAGTTCCACTTTAAAAATTGAATAAAAATCATCGTAGTAAATGTTCCAAAATACCTATGTTTCTTCATTTATGAACTTAAATCAGTTCCAGTTCCAAAAAAGGTGCAACATATATGGGCATTGCTAGTGTAAATGTTTTTTCAAACTATGGGAAAATAGTTCTTATCAAAAATTGTAACTCTTTTTAGCTCTTTCGCTCGCATTTTATAACTTGTGCAGGTAAAACAAATTGAAATCCAAACTAGAGGCCCAACGCAAACCTAATATCTTCTTCTGTTCCAATGTAAAATATCAGATTCATTTTTATACAGACTGGCCAACATAAAAGAGAATGTTCGCACTGTGATTTAGTTTACACCTCCCACAAGCGTTATAGACAATCGCGTCGTTTTCATGGTAATCCAAGTCCATAGAAATAATGCCGCTCAAAATTTATGACGTTATTTGGAATAATTTATGACGCATTATCGGTTTACATGGCTGTTAAATGCAATTCTTGTTAAAGCGATTATCCGATGAATTCATTTCCCATTATTTGATTCAAATACCCCATTAACCGGAACCACTGTGACATTTATTCACAACTCAATTAACCATCAGTTATTGTTTTCGCCATATGCTCATTATATCATAACATGGCCAAATGGCACGATAATAGAGGCGATTAGAAAACAATCGGTTCAGAAGCAGCGGAAAGTATCAGTATTTTACAGAGCGACCGGCAGAAGCGTATATGGAACTTAATCATACATTATGAAGTACATTGGATGGATCTATGCTAACTGCTGGCAACTAGATGCGTTTCTAAAAATGAAAAATTACGTCTTCCTTGCAAATGTTTTTATATGATCCAAACGTTTTTATGAAATTCAAGTTTTGTGTTTCTTATGAAGCTATTTGATCGGAGTTTTCTCGTTCCTGGAAATATACTCCAATCGATTATCAGTGGGGTCAACAATGTTTGCAAAAGTTATTTCTTCTGTAGGTCGGTATCTAACAAGACTCATTTTGTAAAAAATTGTGATAATTAATTCCTAATTAATTTAACCCATGTAGAGTTACCAAATTATCAATCTGAAATTGTTGTTAATGAGCAATTTAGGTTGCGTGATGATTTTTGTCCGCGTCAACCTGTTCACAAAATTGTTGTAAAAAATACAATATTTTAGTGTGGATGATTAGTGAACTTATCTTTAATAGAAAGGGTTTTATTTAATATACATAGGCACATATGGAATACATTTTCCTACTTTAATTAATCTAGAAGAGTTCAAATAGTAAAAATACTTTTTATCGTAGATATCTATTTATACATATATCGGTTTAACTAACCCTCTACAATGTCTTCCCATTTCCATTTTTCATCTGCCCCGGTCGGTCCATAGATCGTCTTCAAGTTCTCTGTCGAACCTTCTCTTGACCTTTTTCTCGGCCTTCCGGGTCCTCGTCGCTCTCTTGGTTGCCAGTTCATCACTTGCTTCGAGATTCTGTGTTCTTACATTTGTATATTTCCATACTATATTAGTTTTTTATGTCATCTGTTATAGAATGCGTTATTCCTATGATTCTCTTCTCGATATTCCTGCCGCTCGACGCCAAAACTCCATTTCGGTTGCTTTTAGCCGTTTTTGGAGAGGCGTCTGTTCCAAAATAGATCACTTAAAGAGCGATCGCCTTTAAGCCTGATGTTATTTGTTTCTCTGCTTTTATCTTCATTACAGGTTGTTTGTAGAAACGCTTGATGGCTTTAATTAGCCCTACGTTTATGCTCGTTTTCTCTAATATTTCTCAGTTTACTTAGTGGAACATTATCGCAGGCTTTTTTCAGATCCACAAATAAGAGCTGGATTTGTTGGTGGCGTGCTCTCTTTATCTCTAATTTGCGTTACAGTAAATATATGGACCACGACTGATCTATCCGCAAAAAATCCAGCGTGTTCTTCTGCTTCCATTTCCTAGTATTCTTTTATTACCTAATTTGTCAGATTTTGTATATATATTTCTTATAAACTCTATCTAGAAGAGATTATGGCACGTAGTTAGGAGAGTTAAAATCCATTTATTTAGGAAATAATAGATAACTTTGACAGCGAAGAGAGTTGCATTGTTTTTATACACAAAAAACATGTTTTTATATACAAAAGGGAGGATAGTCCTCCCTTTTTTCGTTCGAAGGAATGGTTCTGATGGTCAATTTTATTGGATAAAACATGATAAATTTGTTCAGTTCTCCCCAGAGTAATCTAATGGTTATATTTTTTGTCATTTCCAAACAGAAAATTGCACCACTTCACAGCAAAATCGCTGTAGGGAAAGTTAAATATATCGGAACTAAATTGCGACTAAACGTGACTTGTTACTTAAAAAAATCGGCTTCATTTGGTATGCACCAATAAATCTGTCACTTAGAACTTGGCTCACATGTATACATATAGAACCGACTTGCATAACCACACGATTAAACCCGTTCCAATCAATTAGCCCCCAATAAGACACAAACAACAAATACATGTGGTAATTACATGAAACCCAATGAAAGTTGACACCCATCTATAGACGCCATTAAATAAACCCATTACGATTGATTTCCCGCCTTTATTTGCTCTCTGCGTCTGACTACTGGCGAACGAGGGAAATGCAAGTAAAGGAAAACGAAAATGCAGTACTTAAATGGCTTGCTTTTGAAACGAAAATATTGATAATTGAACCCAAAAGCAGTTACTTGTTTCGCATCTTAAGCCTTATGGATGAGACTCGATGGGAGGACGATCATCAAGACCACCTGCATATGTCCTTAAGATAGATTGTAACCTTTGAAACTGTAGACTCTCTAATGTAGATGCGTTCGAAACGGAGATTGAATATATTCACAAGCTTTGAGAGATTATTGAAGATACAGCAATTTTGCTCTCCGATTAGGCCTTTTTAATGGCCTTCGATTTAAACAGGAAATGTTCGTCTGTTAATAAAAAAAGGATGCATTTAAAAAAGCCAAGTTGTTAAAAGTAATATTGATATTCGGAATTCATTGGTTTAAGCCTCCAATGAAAGCTCAAATGATTTTATTCTGGCTAGCACTATTCACCATCTGCATATAAATTTATCACATTGCTCGAT